CTCCTGCCATAGACTGCTAAGAGAAAAAGGGGATGAGGCAGAGAGAGATAGAGCTAAATCCCGTGCAGTCGCTGATTAACCCTACGGTCGACAGACGCTGCTTTTCCCCCGGGAGGCGATCGAAGCGTCTTCATTTCCTGATTAACTCGCCGAGCCGCTCTCGCAGCTTGTACGTTCCGAGAGAGGAGCGCAGCCGGAAGTAATCCGTCTTTCTCTCCGTGCATTCTCGCGATCGAGAGGAAGAGAGAAAAGCGTGACGCGAGAGGAAGAGACGCGCCGAAAGAGAGAGAGAGAGAGAGAGAGAGAGAGAGAGAAGAATGGCTGACTCGAATTCACTTGGAGTGATTTAAAGGCTGGAATTGTCTTTTCCCCTTGTTCTTCTACCGTCTACCTTTCCCGCTTCCTCGTTTGCCATTACGCGTCCTCATCCTCCGCCGCCTTCTATATCGAATTCCTCGCGTCGCGAGGACTCTACTGTCTGTACTTTCAATCATGCTTAACAGAATGACAATCGATTCTGCGGCTACGCATGCCAGATTTCTGGCAACATTCGTTCATAAAGATATAAACACAAAGCCCCCCAATCAGTATACTAAGACAATCTCTTGAAAACTTTGTAAGTCGATATTAACGTGCATTCATATCCGATAAGTTAATCTTAAAATGCAAAAAATATAATAACAAGCAAAAATTATTACGCCTACATCTTGAAAAAATTTTGAAGATTTATTTAAAAAAAATAATTTTCAAAAAAAATTTTTCAAACCGATACAATTCTTAATGCAATCTTCGCAGTTATTAATATCACGTGACATTATTCGCAATACTGTTTTAATTCTGCGTAAATGCTTTATAACATATTACATTAATCATGATACATTATTTGCATTTTAAAATTATGTATGACACTTCTAAAAGTCTAAGTAACGACGATTAATTACGTTATTGAAATAATTTTTTAAAAATATTCGTAATATTCGTAAAATAGAAGCTTTATTAAAATAATAATAGACAAACTGGAATTAATATAAGCAACACCTTAACCATTCGAAATCGAAGCTGTCGCGTCGATGTTATTATACCGAGCACTTTCGTAACTCGCACCGGGTGGTGATCCGTAATTTCACTTTATCTGATTACGTGGCCGACTTATCGCTTGAGTACCCCGCGCGAAGAGCGCGATAAAATAATTTCTGCCGATCTTCTCCCTGTGCGTTTTCTTCCTCTACGCACACTTTTTACGCGTACGATAACAATTTTATCTGATAACACCATTACATTTCGCCGAATCGAGGGGACACTCGTTCATCCGAATTCGTTAACCAGAGCAGGAAGTACATGATGACTTTCGCGGAAACTGCCGAGACGACCTCGACTAACGTGCGATTAATTTGCATTCTCTGTGAAGGTCAAATTCTCTTACAGAGAACGTTGAATGTATCATCATCCAATTAGATATGATTTCAAATAGCGCTCCCTGAGAAATTTATTTTATTTTTCTTGCTTCACTTTATGTGCTTTTCTTTTTGTTATTGTTTGGGAGCACTGTAACATGATCAGAAATCAAAAGATAAATCAATGTGAGATCATTCGATAATGTAATGCCAATGGTTTTAATAAAAAAAAAATGTAACACAAATTAACAGAAGCTGATATGAACAAAGAATAGTATAGATAAGTAATCTGCCATTTATTTCGTCTGACGCGCGTTACACGAAGCCAGCATTTTGATTGCATGATTCGAAGATACATATGTTTTCGGATGTGCAAAATGCGTCGATACTTTAGTTACAATAATCAAAGGATATATTTTCGAAAGGCAAGACTACACTGGAGCGAGGCATATTTAAAGATAACCATAACTTTGCAATAACAATCGAATATGCAACTGACTATTCGAACGACTATTCGAACGATTTTTTTTTCCAAATATTCCGGGCTGCTAAAAGTGTCGAAGTACTATTTCATTTGTGCGTTTCTGTCATACGACAAATGTGTGCAGGGGTGCTATTCTGTAACTGTCTTTACACGTCTATCGACAGTTGTCGGTGTCGTTGCGCAGATATTTTATATGGTGCAAAAATTTGCGCAACGACAACTGTCGATAGGTCTGTAAAACAGTTACAGAATAGCGCCCCAGGACAGAGAAAGCCTCGGATCTTTCTATCCTATAGTCTATTACATAGCTAATCAACAGATTTGAAAAAAGGTTGTTGTACGATAAAAACGCACAAATGAAATAATAGTCTAACAAACGATAACAAAAGCGAGTTTCGCTATTTACAAATAACAAACGAGAAATGTTTATCACACATATTGACTATTATTACCTTTGTTCTTCGTATTTACAAAATACATTTTCATAACTAAGAAAGACACTGTAGCATAAAAACTATCTCAAATTCGAAATACATTGTAATAATGTGTGTTTAATTATGATTTCAAACAAGTGTGTTAGATATGTTTAAAGCACCAAAATTTAATTAAGATTCGAAATTATAATGTGTAAAAAATTTCTGTAGAAATAAAGAATTTTAGGGAAGAACGTTAATATAGAAAGTGTGCGATAGTATAAAAAAATATTGATAAAAACATTCGTTAAATAAAAATGCAATGAATTGCATCGAAGGATACATTAAATTACAGCGTTCGATAGCAATTGGTGTGCTGGGTATTATCCGATCAATTAAATACAAAAGTTTATTTGAATCAAGATTACCTGATTTGTGAAAGTTCCGAAAGGTTTGGTGTTTATTGGTGTGTGTGTGTGTGTGTGTGTTTATTTGAAAAAAAAGACTAAAACTAGCGGAAAACTAAATTGTTGAACAACTTCATGCCGTTACTTTCATTGAATTTAACCCTTTCTCAGGAAAAGAGTTAACAAAGGTCTGAACGGTATTTTTTCTATAAAACTTTCATTTTTAAACAAAAAAAGCGAAAGACTAAAGTAAAAATGTACCTAAAATATTTTATAAATAGTTGCTTTTTCTCTTTTTATGTATATAAGCAATATGTCAGCATGTTAAGACTTCTTTCTTGTTATTCTTGAAAGCTCGATCATCACTATTGTAAAATACAAATAAAGCGTGTCAGAATCTTAATGATTAACCGACAAAGTGTATTCTTCTTTTTACTTTCTTTCTTTTCCTCAAAAAAAAAAAAAAAAAAATATGTAACATTCTTTGGGATTCCCAAAACAGCAAATCCCGCTGAGAGAAAATTCACCATTTAAATTAGGGATATAGACAGACACTCTAAAATTGAAAAGTGGACTTAAAAATATATATTCTCCGAAAGACATTTCTTTTAGGTTTATTTTTACTTTAAAAACATCTACGAAGAAACTCTGTCATTTTATGTGTATTATCTTCTAAAAATTAATAATGAGTCGAGATGAAATAATATAATACGAGGTAGAAAAAAAATAAGACAAAATATTAATATTACAACATAGTATAACAATTTCAAAATGTAAGCAATTAGAAATTAGATTGAAAAATCTCTCAATATGGCATACTCAAACTTTCTTTTATTTTAAATGCCATAACTTTTTTATCAATAAAGATATATACATCTGCTCGTTACTATTATATCCCTTACTATCTGGCGTTTTAACTAAAAAGAATTTGTCATAATATTCATTTTCATGTGATTGATTTTTACATAATAATAGGATGTTGCAAACGTGATGAAACGCACATTGTAGGATTTATTGCTATAAAAAATCTAAAGAAAGTCTTAAAAAACCCAGAAACAATGCAACAGATTGAGATTTTATTTTTTCGAAATTGCTTATACAGCTGTAAGCCCCGGTAGAGCCGAGAAATAATAAATCTCAAAGGAAGAACTCATCAAACATGAGTCGAGATGTGTTATACATAAACGATACGCGAGACTTTAATTTCGTTGGGGTTGGGGCAGGTCACAAGGTATTATCTAGGCCCGAGAGAATGAGAGAGAGAGAGAGAGAGAGAATGAGAAGAAAAATAAAAAGAGAAGGAAAAAGTAGCCTCGCGGAGTGATAACGATTGCGGAGCAGATTACGCGAAACGGGTCGACGAATATCTCCATTCGTCGCCGCTACAGTCGCCGTCGCCGCTTCACGAAACGACCTTCGGCTTGCGTAATATTTTTATCGGCCGAAATTACGCACTGGCCCGGCGAATGCGTGCGCACTTCGGATCATACGTTCGGACGAGCACGTCGATCGAAAAGCAATAAAATACGAACGACACAATAATTCGTTTTCACATCGGTCAAATTCGCTATTGGAAATACGACAAGAGGAAGAGAGAAAAAGAGAGACAAAAGTATTTCATAGGATATAGGGCGCGTTTAATAAGCAAATAGCCATTTTTATTGAAAACAGCTTCGCTTTTCATCTAATTCAAAGTGAACAAATAAAAAATACGTCAAGTTGCCGTCATTAGTTACCTTATCGCGGAAATGACACATTGTAACAATCATGAATTGCGAACGAGTTGCTCTTATATGATAACATGAGAAAATTGTTTCCGTCAGATAGGTGTCGAAATAGGCAAGTACTCTGGTTAATGTATGATGAAAATGTCCACTCTAAAAATATAAAAGTATTATTGTAGGTAATAATTACACAACAGTCTTAACTTTTAAATCAATTCGTTGAGTAAGCCAAAACAGCTGATTTGCCTAAAGTGTTACACCTTGTGGAAAACTAGAAGGAGAAAAACTAGAAAAATTTGTCGTGACACTAATATTTCCAAATTTTTAGAATTCGAGAACAAGTACTCTCCTTCTCTCTCCCTTTTCTTTCTTCGATAGAAAAAAAACGAACAATATAAGTATATTTGATCCAAATCCTAAAATAACACTTAGCATCCAGACAGGTTTCTGCCTGTCGAGACACATGAGAAAAACTTTGTTGGATGATAATAGAAAGAGACGCGGATGGGGGGAGGGGAAAATATCGACCACAACCAAGTCTACATCGATCATGATTCAGATCATCATAACTAACTCACGGTATCGTCTCATGAGGTTCTTCTTGTAGGGTTTGGTGCCAGGCGGCCTGGACCGCGACCTCGTGCCGCCACCACCGCCGTCCTTTGTTTGTTGATTGTTATCGGAGCAGGAGTCGTCGGAGTCCTCGGAGCAAGTCCGATCCTCCCGCTCCTGGCTGTACTCGGACGCGGTGGCGAAGCATCCCCGCAGCCTAAGTGCGGCCGCCTCGTTCCCGTAGTCGTCGACGGGCAGCAGATCCTTCCGCTCCCGCTGTTCCTGCTCGTCCTTGTCCTCCCTGCTGAGCTCCGCGTAGTCGCCGACGCGTACGCTCAGATCCAACGGTTGATCCTCGAGCATGATTATCACCCTGGTGATATCGCGGCGCGAACAAGCGCGTTCCTTCTGTCTTCTTCTCGGTTTTTCGAGATCCCTTCGGCGATCGGCGGATCCTCCGCCACCAATCCACCTCCACCCTTCGCACTACCAGGACACTTGATGCGACATTCCGCGCGATTCCTTATCCTTCCTCGGTAATCCCGAACCAAACGGCGCACTTGTCTCGAATTTTAAAAATTCGACATTGCACTTGGCGGGGATCCTCCGCCCACGCCGGCGCGCACAACAAATGTCCTTCGAAACGAGCCTCGAACCTCCTCCTTTCTCAGAAGGTGTTTGTCCTCTCACTCCCGGAAAACGGGCGCGAGAATGACCGGCGCGGGGCGCGTTTCGCGCGTTACACTTCCATTAACGCTTACCGGGGGGTAAAGAAAGCAGGAACCGGGGAACGGAGAAACGGTAGGTAGAGACGGACGTGGAAACGAATGTAAGATTTTAATCGGTTTAATATCTGACACGCTTCACAAAAGTGCCAAAAGTGCCAGGCTGTCAACAAAGCGGCCTGGTGCTAGGGATTCTTGAAAGAAGAATGTACTTGAATGAAGATCGCGCGAAGGAAACAGGACGGAGAGATGTTCGCGGCGAGAAAGAGATCCGAATTCCACGACCTTTTCCGGGATGTCAAGAGAGGCACGTTTCCAATGGCTCAACCCGTTCGCTGTCAAAGCACTCTCACCTCTCTCGCGGAACGTTCAGCGTAAGCCGACGGAGCTGATGCCAGCTCTCGATGGTCGACCGGCTGAAGGAAGAAAAAAAAAAGACTGTTTCACGGTCGCGCGAAAGAGGAGATCGTTCACTCGGCGGTAATTCGTCGGCTTGATCCACGTTTTTCACTACTATCCGCGAACGATACTTGTGCTACTATACTACTACCACGCGGTATCACTCTGTCCCCGACTCTGTCGTCGACGTATCCGTTATCGTTGCCCCCGAAAAAGGGGAGAAGATGAGATACGAAGAAAGAAGAAAGGGAAATAGATGCGGTGACGCGATTGACCTGCCGTGGAGCGTAACCGCGTTCGCCTGCACCGTGGCTACGGTCGCCGGTGGCACACTGACTGACTCGGAACGGGGTAGCCCGCTAGTCCAGAGTCTCGTTCACTCTCCAGACTCTCACACTCCGACTCGACTCCACTCCACCAGTCCACCGCCGGACTCGGGCTCTCGCCTCTCACTCGCGCCTAAGCGTACCGCAGCTCGGTCGTCTCCGCCGTTCAGCTTCGGAGGCGCTCGGTTCGTCCGTTCGACGCTCACGAAGAAGAGGCCCCAGTCGGCGATGAGGCGCGACGACGATCGCACGTATGTACGCCGGCGAAAATTACCCCATTACACGTCTGTGTCTGTCTGGCGCGACACATTGCGCGGGATATGCGTGCGGATGCGTAGCCTACCGCAATGTCAAATCCCGTGACGCCCTCCCTGCGCGCAACTCCCGCGCTCTCGACGCTGGACGGCGCGCGGTCGCGCCGGTTCGACCTCTAATAATAAATGTCTCTCTCTCTCTCTCTCTCTCTCTCCCCTCTCTCTCTTTTTCCTCGTTTACTCTTTCGGTTCTATCGTCATCGCAAGGGAAAGCTATTTTTCCGTCTATTGGGATAGGACGCACAAACTCGGCTGGGTGCTGACGTACCCGTGCCTTGCGTGACATTAACCTTCGATCGTCAACGTCGGGAAATACGAGTAGTTTTGGATCTCAAAATAAGCTCGAATAAAACAAGTGAGACAAATAACGGAGGCACTTATGTTCTACGAGATAAAACATCTGGCGCGTAAAATATTGGAATAAAATGACAGATTGAAATATTAATTAAATATATGTATATTAATATCAATTGCAAATATAACAAATAGCTCATGCGACGTGTACAAATATAATACATATATAGAAACATATTTACATTGTTTTGTATTGAAATACATGTTACAAGTTTTGAAAACTTTATTTTTAAATTAGAATATAATTGATAAAAATTAGCAGTAAAAATATTAAGTGTTGTATCACAACAATTTTAAAAGATACATAAAATTCTATTTATCATGAGAAGTTATATATTCCTTCAATAAAATGCTCCAAATAATATTATTATTATATCGTTTATAAGCTATCTAATAATTCCATTTGGAGTAATATTGTAGGAGTATGAATTCATTATGTATTATACAATCTTGATCCGAGAATATCATAGAGTAAGTATATATACCTAGTTAGTTAATTATTCTATTGGTAAGCGCGTATACCTACTTTATTGAAAATATGCGCACTCCACACATAAGTTATCTTAAAAACTTGGAAAAGGAATGTAAAAAATATTGTCCAGAAATCTTAAATAGTATACATATATATATAGTATATATATACATATATTATTAAAAAATACAACTATAAAGATGAAAAGTTTGTTTGAGATATTCTGTACATTCTCAACCTCTACCTATTCAAAGGTTAATTAATAAATTCCTAATTTTTAAGTTACTAAGATCTTCTAAATAAGAAAATTGTAAAGATGTAGTCTGATTAAATTCGCCAAGGAAACGCCGACTCCAAGTTCATCTCAGAGAAACTCTACAATGAGCTCTGTACACCACGAGTGTCACGACACGGTTTATAGAAAAAAAAAAGGTCGTCTCAATGCATAAATACTCCAAAATGCGATCGAGCGCAGTCTATTTTCGCGCGCACCATCTCCGTGTCGCCAGCGGCGAAGTGCGAACGTTACGTAGCGTCGTTCGCAGAGGTGAAGGCAGAAAGTCCGCAACAGTCTGGCTCGCGCACGAACGCGAGCCGCGAGCCGCGAGCCACGGAGCCCCTGACATTGTTTCCGCCTATCGCGGAGAGTGAGAGCGGGGCCCGTCGCAGGAAGAGGAGAGCACGGGAATGCGAGTGCGAGTGCGAGCGCGGTGCGCCACGCGGTATGGGTGAACGTGCGTGGCGAGGTCGCCTCGCCGCGCCGCGCTGCACCGCGCTGCACCGGCAGTGAGAAGGAACTCTTTTACTCTTCCAATCCGGCCGCGGCCGCGGCCGCAGTAAACACAGGTGCTGCAACTGGCAACTGCGTCGCGTGCGACGGAGATATGCGAGTCGAATTTCGACGCAGTGACGTTTCGTAATGCCGCCGATCGATCGGTCGATCGGACATTGGACTCCCGTCCATGTCACGGCGACTCGCTTTCGTTAACCGAAAAAAAGCGGCCGAGCGTAGGCGCGAAGCATTGCAAAAAATAATCCTTTCCCCGTGCAGGAGCGATAAATTCATTTCGTTCGATCGCGAGTAGGATAATAGAATACGTCGACAAACGCGCGCGTCTCGAATTGAGTTTAATTAGGCTGATCCGATATCGGTATCGATAACTTCCGCGAATGCTTTTGTCATGCCATTGTATATCACTCTGTTTCAGCGTTTTCAAATCCTTTTCAATTCGCGGCACATTAAATAAGCCAAATTTGTCAAGATATATCATTAGGTGAACGTTTCTGCATATATTTTTTATCAGATATCACTAACACGACATTCAGAAATCACGCAGCTAAGCCACAAGCAATTAACTTAAAGGTTTCAGTTTTTATTTTATTATTTTAAAAGTGATTTTATATTACTATAATATCACCGTAATTAAAATAAAAATAAACATGATAAATGAATATAATATTGATAATTTTCACATTTTTAAAACACCAATTGAAAAATTCTGCTCTTCACGTTCCATGTGAAATCGCGATGTCAATAAATTTTTGGAATATTAAATAAGTACCTATTGAGACCGTAATGTGAATACACAACAAGTAGGAAACAAAGGCTCTAAATGATGGAGCTAGATTTTTAATGCCTAAATAATTCGCTGTGAATTTGTATACTACATATTTCCAATCCTGTAAACTACACCTCGAATTTAATTTTCAGTTCCGAAATGCAATCTTTACAAAACTCGAGTAGTAATATTACAAATTAAATTAACAAGCAATAATAATATTGAATACTCACAGGTATCTTAGAATGATCTTAACAATCTGATGCTGATAAGCATCTTAAAACTTGTATATAATTTTATTGTGAAAAATATTACCTCGGCGAAGATTCTTGGAATAATTTTTGCGTGCAATATCATTTTGGAATTAAAGGTATAAATCTTTCGTTAATTTTTTCAAATTTATACTTTTCACAAGAAAATATTTCTTCGAATAAACATTCGATCAATATAATTATATAAGAGTATTCTATAGAGTAGTATTCTATCGAATACACGTATGAGTCGGCTGCGTGATTTCTCGCAGGGCGAATTTTTGCGCATCGCCGATAGTATAAATCGTTCGGATTATCGGCGGTCGCTTATCAGTCGATCATCTCTCGCTCTCCAGCGACACCAAGGTCTCGTGTATTCACGTGCGTGCGCGTGTACAGGGACCCGGGGCGGATGGGTCTAGATCCTGCAGTGCGCGAGGAGAAGCGCACAGCGCGGCGGTGTTCGATAGATCGCGATAGACCGCGAATTATTGGCCTGACGGAGTGCAAGGCTCCATCGCCGGCCGGAGGCACAGCTAGAGGACAACGAAGCCAGCGCCCGATTCTCAGAACGTGTCGCGTCATTCTCAAAAGGATTTCCTTGACGAGAACGCTGGTCTCCGTCACGATGCCGTCTATGACGTCGCACGGCATCTAAAACGAGTTCTTGTCAGAGTGGCAATCTAGCTCTTGTGAAGAAAAAAAAGAGAAGAACGGGCAAGGCGAATGAATGGCATTAAAACTTCGATGCCTGGATCGAGGACTGAATATTAGAGAAATCGTATTCAACAATTAAATGAAAGTATGTAAGTGAATTCAAAATAGAAAGAATAGATAATGATCCAATCAATTGTGTCGAAACTTAATATAAAGAATAGAAAATCAACATAATACTGTAACAGATTCAGATTTGAATGTTGTAAGCAAAGATAATTGATATATTTAGTTGAATGTGCAATGAAAATGCAGCAAGAACCATATTTTTCCATACATGTAATTTAATTTTTTTTTTCTATAATACTTAACTTAATCTACCTTTAAGTAATTTTTACATATAATTTAGTATCTTATCTTTTCTTTAACATTATAATTCGTCCAGAATTTAAGAAAAATTTCGTATCCCGGGAAAAGTATAGCGATTGATAAGAGTAGTAGATAAGTGTTCGTGACAATAAAAAGCATTAGAAGCACGATCAATTTCTGAAATAAAAATTTAATTGCATATACTAAAATAAATTTAAAAAAGAAAAGTTGATTTTAAAATATTACAAAATTGGATGCAAAATTGTCAATATTAATTTAACATCGAAGTATAAAACAAAAACATTTGTTAATACGATTGCATGTTAAAGTATAGGAAATTCCCTTTTTTTTTGCAAAAAAGTTAGAAAAAATTTAATTTGACATATTTGGGACTGTGATTGGCATTCTCGCAGGGGGACTGCGCTTTTGTGCGTCAGACTCTATATTGTAACATGTTAAAAATAGTTAAAAATATAGCTGAAACGTCTACAGAATTATAGATGTAAATCTTATCAAATTATATACTTATTGTCATAATAATTGCGCGCTGATTACCACGCCAACTCTTACTATAATTGCTTTTTTTTATTTTAAATTTCGGGAGTTCTATTTCATTATTAATTTGTATTTGATCAAGTAATGCGTAATTCAAAATAAATTATTGTATTGTATAAAATAAATTTTTTATAAATAAATATTTATGCACCCCGATTCCAAATCTTATATCGTGCTATATAAAAACAACATCTATATAAATACGTATTACTTTCTCTAAATGTTTAATATCAATTGACGTAAGAAAGTTAGATGTGTTTGATTATGTTCAACCTGAAACACACTGTATCCTATCGAGAAATAGAAATTCTGTTCCACAATGGAGAGAAAGAGAGGGAAAGATTTCAAGTGATATTTTCCGATATGCGTGTTGGCGATCGTGCTGTCACGGCGTTTTCCTTAGAGGATGAACTCATCGATCGAGCCATGTCGTACCGGACACGACAAATAACCTGAAAGTTTTATCGCG